TTTTTAATAAAATAGTTCTACTTTACTTAATTTTTTTATTTTTTTGTTCTGGTTTATTTCTGGTTTATTTTTTATATTTTTTTGGCTTGTTGCTAAAAAAAAACCTGGCAACACTGTTCCTCAGGGCTCAATTTTAGGACAACTCTTATTTCTATTGTACATAAATGACTTATACATAGCAACAAATCTTTTAGACCTAATTTTGTTTGCTGATGATTCCAATCTTTTTTGATCTCACAGAGATATTAAAACACTCTTTAAAATAGTTAATGAACAGTTATGTAAGAGGTCGTCCATAAAGTACGTACGCTTTTTTTTCGCTAACCCCCCCCCCCCCCCCCCGCAATTTCCCGTACACTTTTTTGAGTACTCTCTACCTACCTAAAAGTACCTACGCTTCTAACCTACTAACCCAACATTTTATGATATTTTTTTAAATTTAGTGTCGCCATATTTTTATAATTGACCTACTGTCCCCTTATCACAGAAACGCTATGTTAAGTGCGAGTTTTAACAAAATTAAGCAGACCTCATCTTCCTCTTCAAGCGTACGTACTTTATGGACGATCCCTAAAGCTAATAATTGGTTAGTAAGTAACAAACTTTTATTAAATGTGGATAAAACAAAATATATAATTTTCCATAAGGTAAATAAATCAAAAAACATTTCACTAAAATTACCAAATCTTATAATTAATAATAACTACATTAAAAAGGAAACATACGTAAACTTTTTTGGAGTAAAACTGGATGAAAATTTACTGCGGTATTCACATATAAATAGTATTGAAATAACACTCTCAAAAAATATTGCAATGGTGTTTAAGGAAAAACCTTTTCTAAATGTAGCATCCCTGAAAAAATTGTATTTTGCCTTTGTTCACAGTTATTTGTCTTACTGTATGGGCTAGTACTGGCTATACAAAACTTAAGAAAATCTACAACAAACAAAACCATGCATGCAGAATAGTGTTTGGAGCCTACGAAAATATTTCTTGCGAACCACTTTTACGTGCACTTGGTGTTTTAAATGTGTATAAACTCAATTTACACCAAGTTTTATTGTTTATGTTTAAAACAAAAATGGGATCGTCACCCAAAATTTTTCAAATTTATTTTAATAAAATTAATCATAAATATTGAACAAAATTTTCAGATAACAACTTTGTTCTTCTCAAATATAATTTAAAATTACCTCCTATTCAATTAAATATCGCGGACCTTATCTGTGGATAAAATTCCCAGATATTGTCAATAAAGACAAGACTACATTAGAACAATTTAAAAGTGATTCAAAAAGATCATTACTGATCAGGGAACTTAATTTATTCGACTTTAAATGTTTGAAAGTAAGAATTAAAATCTTTTGAAGTTAGCTTAATCAAATAAAAACAAGTTTATTTATATCAATGAAATTTAAGTTATTAAAAATTCATCTTGTGATTATGTTAATTATAAAATTTTATATTGTTCTCTTTTTATTCGAAAACTTTAGTTTAAGAGGTTCTTAAAAACTTTAGCTGTTGTAAGCATTTCAACACTTCTCAATTATTTGTCATTTGCTATTTTGAATTTCTTTATTTTCTTAGTTTAGTCCTGTAGAATTTAGACTCCATCTAGAAAAAATTATTATAAAGACATGTTATATATCGTTGGAAAGCTTATTTTTTCCTCGTTAAAATAAGTAATTTGTATTTTTTTTTATTATGTGGAAAAAAAGTTTAAAAAATAAAAGCACAAAAATTAACGTTTTTGGCCGAAAAATATCATTCTATTAAGCGAGTAAATGTGATGTAATTTTTATATTTATTACTCCTAAATATTAGTAGTTGGTTTAATAATGAACTGAAAGCTAAATAATAACTAAAAGTATGATATAGGGGTGGAGGGGGACTCTATTTTAGCAAATTTTTCAAAAATTTGACGTAAAGATGGGTGTATAAGACAAATATTCCTTTATTATTAATTAATACTGTTAAACGTGATAATTCGGTAAAGTTACCAAGTTAAAGTTTCGGGGTGTAGTTAATTATTTGTTTTTTGCTATTTTGAATTTCTTTATTTTCTTAGTTATTTTCTGTTTAATTCTGATTTATGTTTTTTTATATATTTGAATATTACGGTTATGTAGAATTTTTTTTTGTATACGGGGCTCGGCAATAAGGCAAAAAGAAACGTATATTTACATCGAGCTATATTATAACATTTTGCTCTAACGTATTAAAATTCGTAATTATAAAATTGTATTACTTATAGCCTGACTTGTTAAAAGTTTTTATTTTTTTAATTTTTATTAAGCATCTGGTTTCAATGGAAATTATGTGTAAAGTAACTCTGACCGAAACGGTTATTAATGCGTTGGTAACTAAAAACTAAAATATTATTTTTTGATTTTATTTATATAAAAAAAATTTTTATATAAAAAAAGTATATTATAAAGAAATTTGTTTCAAAACAATTTATTGCCGCGATGACTTTTTTTGCGACGCCGTAAAGTGGGTCAAATCTCAAAAAAGCTGGTCAAAACAGAAAAAAGAAAAGTTTCGACACATCATTTTTGGACTATCAGCTTGGTTTCAGTGATGTCGGAACTACTTAATGCCGGCTGTGCAGAAGATCAGCTGTTCATTTCAGCGCTATACTGCAGGTCGAACGCGGCAGTCCTTTGTTTGCTTACAACCGTTAAAGCTGAAAAATTGTCTTTTATTCAAAAATAAATATTTTTGTTGCGTGTACATGAAACAAATATTTTTAATATGGAAATCGTTTTACGAGGTATGTATTGATTACAAAACAAAAATATTATTATTAAGTCGTTAATTATAAAATTATTTTTTTTTAATTAACCTAATACAGAAAAATGTTTTACAAAATTGTAAAATTTGCTTAAAAAATGGAGAAGTTACGAATTCCACGACATTCCACTCTCATTTACATTGTGCTTGTACGTATATACAGTGCCGGATCAAGGGGGTGCTAGGGGGCTATAGCCCCGGGCCCCGCACATTTAGGGGCCCCCAAAAATTTTAGAGGACCTTCTTTTTTTTTTTTTTAGTCATTTTTAGGCTCTAGCCCATAAAAAGGCCTCCGAAAATAAAAATAGCCCCGGGCCCCAAGAAGTCTTAATCCACCACTGCGTATATAGTATTATTTTTGTAATTTATTATTCAAATTCACTCACTAGTACCAACTCCACTTTTAAGCCATGTTTTTTATAACAGTTGCAAAATGCCGCAATTGAGACATTTTGAAAAATGAAAGTAAAATTATTTAATTATGAGCTACATTTGTACAATTTTAATTATAATCGATCTCTAGAAGAATTATAAAGAATATTAAAGTAGAAAAGGACGAGAACAACGATTTCTTCTACACAGTGAGATGAATAACTTAAAAAAAGACAGTGATCGCCACACACATCGCCACACAGTGAGAACTATTTTCCGATCTTCAAGAAATGATTGCATTCCCTTTTTTTTCTTAAACTGAATGCTTGGTTATTTTTTTAATGGCATAATTAATATTAAGAAATATTTAAATTAAAATGTTGCTAACTTCATAAATAAATAAAGAAAAAATTACATATAAATCAAAACACAAACATTTTACATACTCTGTCACGGCTGTTTCACGGCAATGTAAAATTGGGTATTACGTCACGAGTTTAGCAAAAAAATAAAAATTTCCCCATAAAAAGTATAAAAATTTATTAACTTTGAAATAATAGAATTTTTTTTATCTAAACGCTTTTATTTGCAAATGAAAAAAATATAAAAGATTTATCTTTCCTTTTTAAATAATTGTTTACATTATACAGAACAAAAATGTATATTGTAAAAATATTGCTAATCATTTGGGATCACTTTTCTGTTATTTGCAATTTTTACAGAAAACCTGTCTAGGGCCAACTAAGATTCGCTAACATAGCTACATGCCTGATAATTGAAATTTGGAACACTTATCAAAGAGTGTCTATTATATCATATTCCTACGTCATCCTGGTGATTTTTTTTACTATAACTTAACTTTTACTCCATTTGTACTTTTAAATTTATCTCTTTTAAATGTAAAATACAATTTTTTTGACGGATGAAGTAAGTTATTAAAATTTCGCCTTTTTATGCAGATTAAAATATAAAAATTACTTTCTGTACCTCTTGCTATGTTAGCGAATATGTTTTTAAACTTGGCATGTTTAGCACTAACTTTGTTTTTCGCGTGAATTTTTCAAGCAATGACGTATATTACATAACCTTAAATACGTTACAAAACCACACTCTAGTTTTAATTTGGTACGTAATTAAGCTTCTCAATTTTGTGAAATTCTCTTAAAAAACTTTAATATATTTTAATTATGTCGTTATTTATATTAGTATTGACAAACATATTAATTTGCAGTCAAACTCTTTTTTTTTTTTAAAAAAAACAGTTAATGTAATATTTGGCAAGTTTGATGTCTGACTTAAATAATCCCTCTATCGATTCGCATTAGATTTAAGTAAGATTTTTTGCTCTAAAAATGGTCTAACAATGTTTATATTATATATTTAACAATGTAAGTATTTTTTGATTATTTTTGCTAAAAAGTAACATTAAACTTTTCAAAATCAACTTAGTTTGTAATTTCTGCGCGTTTATTTAAAAATGTAATTTTTTTTATATTTTATTGAATGTTAAATGATAAAACAATTTATTGATGTTTATATTCTTTTTACAGAACAAAATTATCTGTAATATTTCAAAAGTTATAACAGTTTTAGTAACTTCCCTTGAAGTAATAATTTTAAAAAATTTAATAAAAATCTATAATGTATTATACACTAATTTAAACGAATTCTATCTATTCAGGTGAACGGACCGCAAAAACTAAGACACCCCAAAAACAGCGTGGTCAGTTATATGGCTATAAAAATTTAAATCTGTACTTTAAAACCACGAAAGAAATGTTTTTTGATACATGAATGTTCTAGTAATTTTTTGGGGTGCATTAAAAAGAAGAATTAACTAGAATCAATCTTTTTCACTAAATTTGCACAAAATTTATAAAAATATCTCATTAAAATAATTGGTTCATTTCTTTCTAGCACCTGCTAATAAGATCATTTCTGGATTTTGTCCATTTACTTTGCAATTTACTTTGCTGCAAACAGACTTCATAACATTACGACAGGTTGGACACTGCTTCAAGCCGAAAGCTTTACATTTTATGTCTCCACAATTACATTGAAGCATACATTTAATAAAAAGTTTTTTAACTCTCTTATTTTTTTTTGGAGCATCTTCTTTTTCTTTTAACTTTTTTTCTTTGATTCTTTTTATGGATTCAACTGCAGTTAACACACTGTTTACTGTCTTCTAGCAGATTTTATAATAGTTTCTTTGGTTGCCCATTTGCCCCATATATTAGCTAGAACTAACATGAAAGCTTCTTTATTTAAGGAGCAGATAGCTGAAAACATAAAGTCTTTCTTTTTACGATACTCGCTATGAATGTTCTTATTTACTTGGTCAAGAGGTTGAGTAACTCCTGTTGTGTCTGATGGAGTGACAAAGAGACAAATTTTTTCAACTCAAAAAAAGATAAAACATCAAAGTCTAGTCTTGAGCTATGTCCATCTGACAATAAAATGATGGGTCGCTTAACATTTTATTCATTTAAGTAGACATCAAATTCTTTCAATGCTGCCAAGAATGATTCATGGTTTGATACTCCATTTTCTGATGTCGTAACCAACAAATGTGGAATTTTATTTGCTGCTTCTGTCGGAACCATACAACTTTTAATACCAGTACATTTAAAAATCACCTAGCACATACATATATCCTCTTAAAATAAAAATAGAAAATCATTTTAAGCAAGTACTATTATTTATACATTTTTTCTTAAACCACATATTATTGCATACCTGAAAATGAAACAAATCGTTGAATTGTGACACATTCTCTGTTTTCTCTATACATTATACTTATTTATAAAAATTTTCAAACTGATACCTAAATGATTACTTGCCATTTCCTTTGAACAATTCAGTGCACGGTTTATAGACACTCTTCCTTGTCGCTTTAGGGTAAGACTGCTATGTTTAGCATTAAAGCAAAGCCAAAATGATCGACTTAATCTATAAAAGAGGACCGTTACATAAAAACAATTATCTGATTAAAAAAAGGGAAATTTAAATATAAAGATGATTCTTATTACCCTATTTAGATTTCATAGGATCATTGTAAGTTTAATTATTTAGTTTCAACGTACTTTCTTTTTTCCAGTGCAGCTCGAGCATTTATTGATAATTTGTGAAACTTCCTTCCACCTTTCATCTTTGTATTAGTGTGGTGTCTAATACGTACCACATTTAGAATTAACTTGGTAACTTCCTGTTTATTAATTGCTTGTAAAGACCTGTTTTTATTTTTTATAAAACGAACAATACATGTCTCTTCATTTTCTGTACAATAACTTCTTTCTTGTCCATTAACCACTTTTCCATCTAATCGCCTGTTGATTGTTTCTCTATCTTTGATAAGAGAAAACATACCAGCCTTTAATGCTGCTTGTCCCCTCCCATTTACATCTTCGAGTAAACTATATAAACATTTTATTAAATTATTTCAAATCTTTTCCATAATCATCAAAAACCAACGTGGTTTTTGGGGTGCATATGATGTGGTTTTTGTAGTACATTTGAAGTGTTCTATAAAATATAAGTTAGCAGTGATGCAATCATCCTAAAAACAATTTATTATAACAATCTTCTTCAAAAAATCAGGTTAAAATTCTTAACAGTTAAGAAATTATAACTAAATTAGTTAATGTAATTTTTGGAGTGCATGGCGAAAAAAAGAGTCAGCTTCAACAACAGGCAAAAGAATACAAGCGATACATATTAAACCATACCTATCAGGAAGAACCCCATTTAAGCTTATCTTTCAATAGTAATAACTTAAAAGATATTATTTTTCTCAAGAAAAAAGTTCTAGGCTCTCCTACTTTCATGTGGTTTTTTGGGGTGCAACCACCTGTTGTGGGGTGCAACCACCTGCACATTGTTTATAAAAAGAATATGACTTAAAGATTTAAATTACATAAAATTTATTGTACTAATACATTTATATTACTGAATAAATAAATATAAATTACTATATAAATACTTTTAATACAAAATAAATGCAATTTTTATTTTAATTATCGATTTATGCATTATTTATTTATTTATTAACTCATTTATTAAATACTTAAAAGCGTTAAAAAACATATGCAAAGCACGGCTGTTTCAAGGTGGACAATTTAAACAATTTTTTAACATATATGTCCGCAATATTGGGCCCGCCATTTTTTTTTATTTTTTTTTCAGCGAATTCTTAATCAGTAACCTCAAAACATATTTGCCATAAAATTTCAGGCGAATCTTTCAACGTTTTCATATTTTGACTAGTTTTTTCGATATCTGTGACCCACTGTGCGCCGGAACAACGTAAACAACGAAAATCGGAATAATTCCGGAAAACCGAAACGTCTGGTCTAAGGACCGGTGAATTCGACTTTTTAAGACTTGAATTTAAATGAGAGACGAATTTAGATCGTATAGGTATACCGAATTTAACTGAAAGGCGAATTTAAGTCGTATATGAACCCCGAATTTAACTGAAAGACGAATTTGGACTTTTAAACCAAGTTTAACTGAAAGCCGAATTTTGATTTTAAAAACATGCCTTTTGAAGACTTTTTGAATATTGACTCTGTAACACAAATTTATTTCCAACATGTTTTTTTTTATTTTTCATTTACTGAATTCATGTTCCCAAGGCCGAGTGGGCCATTTTAGTCAAGGAAGCTTCTTCTTATATTGGTTACAACTCTTTCTCAACTCTTTAACTCCAAAACACATTTCGGAGTTAAAGAGGCTGCAAGAGGGTTGTAACCAATAGAAACAGGTTTATATGAATAAAACATATAACATATTTTATAATTCTTCTTTATAATTTATATGTTTTATAATTCTTTCTTTATAAATTGAAAAAAAAAAAATTATAGCTTTCGAATTTAACTGAAATTTTGAAATTGTTATCGAATGGAAGCCGAATTTCTATTTCAACTTTGGCACCGAAATCGAAGCCGAAGTCAAATTCGCCTTTCAGTAAACTTTGCAATCCGATTTTTAACGGTCCTTAGTCTGGTCATCTTAGTTTAAAGTCCTCTTTTAATTTCTAAAAAGGAATTTTTACTATTTTTGTATTTGTTCTGCAAATTGGTTAAACAAACAAAAAAAAATTATTTTCATATAACTCCAGTCTAGTCCTTAATTTACTTCTTGTTGAACTGCGGAGTTTGAAAGGGTTTCAGCTGGCTAGGACATTCTCAGATAATCCTTCAGGTCATGTCGTCTCCAAAATTTATTAAGGTTAGTGTATGTAAAAAATTTAATAATATAATAATTAAGATATATATTAACATAATAACGAAGAAATAACATACGGTAATTAATTTTTATCAAACATAAAAAAAATCCTCCTAATATTAGTTTGAAAAGAAAGTTATTAAAGCTTTAACACTTTGAATTAATGCGAAACTGTCCAGTTAAAATTTCGTGTCTATATATTACTAAATTAAATTACAAAGTTTAAAAAAATGGCTCAATGATTTATAGCGCACATAAAGTATTTATATGATAAAGGAGACTGATTTTCTAACGTAATAGCAACTCGCCGTGTGCCTGGATAAAACTGAACCTCTAAAAACACCCCAAAAAACCTTTAACGTATTTCTTTTACATATATATATATATATATATATATATATATATATATATATATATATATATATATATATATATATATATATATATATATATATATATATATATTAGTTATAAAAATTATAAAAATGAAATCATTTGTTGGGAAATTTTTGAAAAATGGCCCTTTAAAACCTCCCAAAATAAAAAAAGTTATAAAAACTGGATAAAAACTATTTTTCTTGTCTGGAGTCTTGAAATTTTATTTTTTTATTTTATTAGAAATATTTAGTTTTAGTAAAATTATTAAATTATTTTTAGAAATTCACTTCCTTTAATTTATTGTTAAAGGCCTGGTTTCAATAACAGCATTTTAATCCCTGAATGGTAAAAAATGAGCTATTATTTAATAACTTGATTTTAAAATTATATATATTTTAATTACGACATCTAAACAATTAAATATATAAAATATCATTAGGTTAGTAAACTAAAAAATCCAACAATATTTGTGAGCTAATAACAATGCCTCCAAAATCACATGATGAAAACCGTGCTCAAGTTTGTGTAATTTGCTTTTGCACAAGGGGAAAAAAGGCACACAGACAAGTTACTAACACACAATAGATTGAACTGAAGGCTCATTTGATGTCAAACTATTCACTGCAAGATCCAAGGTTTCCATCTGGGCTTTGTATTGACTGCAGATTGGACAAGATAAAAAATGGAGATTCTACAGTCAATCTATTAATAGCAGAGAACTATGATCCAGAGCTGAAAACTATAACAAGGTATTTATAATATTTTAACTATTACTTTTTAATATTTACCTACCTTTTATAGAAAACCTTTGGAAAATTATTATTTTTTCAAGGATTTGCATAAAGTTTAGAATAAATTGGTAAAATGAGTAGTAAAAATAAATTTAAATATAAAAAGATTTTGTGCAATAACATTACAAAAAAACAAACAAAAAAACAAAAACTCTCTGGGTATAGTATGGTCTGTCAAAGTTAACATGTATTTATAAATTTAATCAACACAAATCTTTCTATTTTCTTTTGACAAATGTTTAGTTTTTCTAGAAAAATAAACTATATAGTAGTTTTTTTTTTAATGTTAAATGTATTTAACATTTATTTGTTTTTATCAGGTCTATAGAAAGATGTAAGTGCATAATTTGTAAAATTGCTAGCTTTAATGGTCTTCAGTGGAAGTTATTTGTCAACAAACAGAAGAATAAATCTAATAATTCAAGATTATTTTCCAAACGGATCTGCTCACACTCCTTTGCCAGTATCTGCAGGGTATCAAGCCACTCAAAAGATAAGTGTAAACTAAGATTGGAAATAATAGTTAACATTATATAACCGATCAGTTATAAAACTATAAAAACAAAGAAAGAATCAGGCAATTTGGTCATCTCCATTACATCCCCTAATGGTGGAAAATTTTTGATACTATCCCTGGAAGAGAACAACGAAACAATAGTTGAGGTATTTCTGACTGCAGAGAATGTCTTTGCAATACAACAGGAAACTAGGCTGACTGATCGTCATGTTATTTCAGTTCTGAAAAACTTTAGACTTAAATGGGGATGGAAATGTATTGTTCCTTGTATAAAGGAGACTATGAGGGATCAGAAAGGTATTTTTGGAAAGTTATTTTCTCAGAAATAACTACGTTTCAAGACTCTAATAGCATAACTCTAAAAATTCCAGAGACATCATAACTTCAAGATATTCATAGAGAAGGCTCAAATCAATCTTCTGTTGTTTAACTTTACTGGTGACCTAAAATAATATCATGTGCATCAAAATATCCATGCTTATACTGTGAGTCTTCAAATTCTGTTGTTTAACTTTACTGGTGTCTGGAGTAATATCATGTGCATCAAAATATCCATGCTTATACTGTGAGTCTTCAAATAGCGAAGGAAATAAAGCCTGGCAGACAGATGCTACACTCAGAACATTTGGGAATATTGAATACCACAGAGAGGATTGGCTAACTTCCAGAGGTAAAAAAATCAAAGCAAAAGAGTATAATAACTGTGTGACAACTCCTTTATTCTTTCATGAGGATGATCCTGATGGGAGCTTGGTGATCCTTAAGAGTCCACCACCAGATTTTAATCTTAAGTTGTCCCTAAATCATGTCTTTAAGAAGTTACAAAACATTTGGGCAGGACTTCAGGATTGGTTAGCAGGGCATTCTATTCTCTTTGAACCATACCATTGTGACACACTTGAAGGTAATGAGTGTTCTAAAGTTCTAAGGCTACTTGATAGTTTGGAAAAAATACTTCCTATGAAGCTGTCTGGTTTTTTGGATTACATGCATGACTTTTCAAAGGTCATTGACTCTACATTTGGCGTGTCTGTAAATCCTGATTATAAAAATGTTCTTAAAAACCTAGGGATGTCTTTTAGTTCTTTACATGAAGAGTTTGGAGTGTCTGAAACTCCTAAGCTTCATGTAATACTCACACATATTGAGCAGTTCATCGACATCACAGGAGACATCACAGGAAAGGGACTCAGTCAGTTTTCAGAACAGGAGTTAAAAAACTCACATTCAGCATTCTTGGTAGTTGGGAGCAATACCTGATAAAAGACATTTCTTCACCTAAATATATGGAGAACTACTCTGAGGCTGTCCTAAATTTTAATGCTAATAATATTTAGTTACATAGTATGCAAAATATGTATTTTCAGTTTTTATACCTAGTTGTACTTAACTGTAAACTGTATTTTAAATTACTTTAAAAAAAGATTTTATACCTTTTTTTATTTTTGCAGGTTTTTGTTTTTTAATTTTATAATTTTTATAACTATTATATATATGTAAAAGAATGGTACAATACATTTTTTTGGCTGATTGTAGAGGTTCAGTTTTACTCAGGCACACGGTGGACTAAGATATAGTTGCTATTAAGTTAGAAAATTTACTACAACTTAGTCTAAGTTGTCGTGTAGCATTATTTAATATGTTATTTTTTCAAGTTCCTGACTCTCAAAACACGAAGTTGTAAAAGAAACTGTTATTGAAGTCAGGTATTGCTATGAAAATTAAGAAAAAACTTAACAAGAAAAAAAGAGCATTTAATAGAAGGCTTAAAATGCTGCAAGTTATTTAGGAAAACACAAAACAAAAATAATTTCAAATACAAACAAAAAAATAAAAATCATTGGAAAAAAGTAGATCACTGAGTTAAAATTAACCAGCCACTGCAAGCCTTAGAAAATCACAAATAAAAAACTGTTTAAAACAGATGGTTCCCTATCAATATATAAATTTTGCAATTATTGTTACTTAGTAGTTTTTTTCAGAAATTTCACTTCAAAAGAAGCATGTATTACTTATAAGAATATATGCATAATGATAATTATGCATATATTCATATAATCTTATATGCATAATAATTTACTTATTAAATTATCATAATTTAAATAGTTTAATGCGTGTTTCAATCAATCTTATGCACATTTATTTTATAGTTTTTATTTTTAAGATTAAATATTAACTAAAAAATAAAAATATAAATATAAAAAAATAAAATAAAAAATATAAATTGGCATTAGACTATTGACTAACCACTGGTTAACTATGACTTATTAATTATTAAACATCTTGGAAAGCAGATTTGAATTTCAGTTTTTTACCATACTTTAACTTTAGTTAATTGCAGTTATTGTGAAACATCTTTTAGTGTTAATTCCAGTGGTACTAGTCAGCTTGTAAAGCAGAATAAAGTAAAATAAAACAGTAATTAGGGTACCAGGCAATGTGTATGTGATCACATATTATTGCAACTAGTAGCATTTTTATATTTGTGATGATATCGCCAAAGGCGTTATGTTTGTGCTGTTTTTTGCATTAGCAGTCATCAATTCTTAGTCATTCAATAGTACGCAGAGGCTGATATTTATTTTTCCACCTCAGTTATAGCATTCTATGCATTCCATTGTGGTGGAAGGCTTAAGATAAACCAAGTGAGTCAGAATGAAAGTTTACAAAGAGTTTACAAGGATACTGTGCATGTCAAGTTGTAGGTCAGCAACTTTATTTCTAACTTTATTATACTTAGATGCGTTTAGCACAATAAACATTGTGTTCACTGGTATTTATAGAATTTATCCATGATAAGAAGTTATTTACTTTAGAATGTTTGTTGATTAGAGATTAAGATGGGGTCAGTAGTTTGTGTGCTTTGGCAATATAAAACTTTTGTGCCAAAAGCATTGGCTAGATATTATAGTGATATTATAAAGAGCTTGTAAAATTTTGTTTCAGTTGATTATGTATGTGCAGGCTATAAATGAAGGATCAGTGTTGATTTGTTGTGTCTGTTACCAGAGCGCTAATTATTACTTATTTAGAGTTTAGTGGATCTAAAGCCTTGTTCATTAAGGTATTTTGTAGTTTAAAAATTGGTTTAAAAAAAAAAAGTACCCTTCCTAATTTAAGTAGCTCTCTGCAGCCTTGAATTGCTCATCTCTATATAATAATGTTGAACTAATAGTTTATTTAAAGCCAAGGTAATGACGAGATAAAGCCCCTTAGCCCTTTTTTATAAGGAAGTATAAGAACTTTATTTACAACTATATAAATATATATTTATATAACGTTATGTTGTTATTATATAATGTTATGCTGCTAATAAAAATATTATATTTTTTAACAAATTTTTTTTTTAATTATTTTGTAATAAAATTATGTGTACAATTTATATAGAATATAAAGAACCGCTAGTAAAAAATTCAAAAATTTTTAATTAAAATTTTTTGACTTTCCTTAACAATTTTTTTAATAAAAGTTGTAAGTATTATTTTAAGTCTGATTTTAATTGCGGTAGTGGTGTAGTGGTAGAGTGCTCGCTTCATAAGTGAGAGGTTCCAAGTTCGATTCCCACCACGTCCCTGGTAGTACCGTGCTCAACTTGTTTCTCCCTGCAGCAACCTTGGTTGTCAGGTTTGTGTTTCGGAGTTATAGAGTTAAGAGAGGTTTATAACCACAACTAAGTAGCCTCCTCGTCTGTAGTGGCTTTCTCTGCCTTAAGGTAAATTAATTAAAAAAAAAAAAAAAAATCATGCAAATGCTTTATTATTAACAAATTGCAACTTTTATACTGTAAATATTCTTGTATACACTGCATTTATATACAAAATGGTATTTAGAATAACCAATCAATCATTTTTTGCAGCAAGTTCGTAATTTGTTATTTTTAAACCATACAGCAAGTTAAATATTAAAAAATATTATTAAAATATATAATAAATATTAGGGCAAATTAGTTAAATATTTGTATAGGAAATAAAAATTCTATCAACTAAATTTTAAAGTACAATAGATTACTAGTTATTTAATATTTCCTCTTCTCTCAATTGCCTCTATGTCTGAACAAACGTTTTAGATCTGTCATTATATATTAATATTTGATCTTTATTTTGTAAAGTTTATGCTATAAACTGCAAAATTCAGCACAAAACCACAAGAAAACATATATAAAAATTGTTAAACTTTATTCACAGTCTGGGAGTCAATAACGTTTTTTCAGGCAAAAAAATATGCTACAGTTAACTAATCTTGTTCTTGTGAAGTGCATTCAATCTTAGAACATTGAATACAAATGTTATGTGTAAGCAAGTTTGCAACATGTTCGCTTATTTAATAAGAGAACATATTGGAAACTTGTATACACTTCACAAGGACAATTGTTGATGAAAATGATACTCATACTTATCTGTCTATTCTACAGATTTTGAAAATTTTACATCAGCTACATGTTTTCAACATGTACCACCAATGGGAGTGACTGATTAGCTGGGTGAAAATGAATGTCAGTACTACACAATAGAGATTAGAGCTATGTATTGTGTTACTTTGATTCAGTTGCAAAACTGAAGTGATAAAACGTCTTCTAGGAAAAAATAAAAAACCTGGTGGTAAAGACGCCGTAATGATTCTTAACAAATCCATTTTAGATTTTCTTAAAGACAATCTAAGCTTAGGCAAAAATCCATTTGCAAATCAAATCTATCCATAATCTAAAAATCAAAAACAAGTGTTCAATGTCACCCCAAATCACCTAATTATTAATATCATCCCAGTTTAAATATACAAGTATGATCATATAAAATAAGAAAATTAGGACATTTAATGCATAGTGTTGATCAGGCCTAGGACTTTTCCAGGAAGCTGGTATAATGATAGATAGTATAATGTTCTGTTAAAATAAAGATAGTGATTAGGTTAAAATAAAGATAGTGATTAGGTTTTTTTCTATGATGCAAAAATGTTTAAAAAGTGTTCATAGTCATCCCGATTGACAATGATTTACAAGGTTGACGATAATTGACATGTTGAACACCCTAGTATAAAAACTAGTTTGCAACAGTTATACTGTCTTACTTTGAATAACTCAGTTGCCATAATAATTTCATTGTGATTTTTCTTAGTCATAAACATTCTGAACATGTTTTTAATTTTATTAAAACTGCTATTAATGCTTTAAAACTTTAATGCTATTAATTAACATGCTATTAATTAACAACATTTATAGTTAAAGGAGCTACTAATTAATATCATATTACATGCTATTAATTAACATCATTTATAGTTAAAGGAGTCTCCTTAGGCATCGTAGATATGTGGTTGTAGATTAGTTGTAAAATGTTTGGCTCACAATCAATAGGTTGAGATTCAAGTTTACCCTGTGCCTTCTGAAATTACTGTGCTCAATCTGTTTCTCTGCACATTGTCCTTGTTTTTTCATATTTCTGAGTTAAGAATTAAGAGAAAATATTGTTTAAAAATTAGTGACTGTAGTGAACACTAGAGTAATAGGGAAATGAATTTATAAAATTCACCTCCCTTGGGCTCTTTGACACATTTTTTAGTTGTCATGGTTTTGTGAGAGGAAGAGTAGAGTTTTGTACAACATGATCTCTCATATCTATGATAACAAATTTGTGAATGTATTCAGCGCGACTAGAAATTTAAATAAGCAATCAAGGCTAATGCATGACAGGACTACATGTATAAGAAGACATAATGATCCTAACACATAATTTTACTTTGAAATTTAAGATAGGAAAAAAAAAATGACTACTCATACAATAATAAAATTTCGGAATGTTATTTAAAAAAATAATTTTGTTTTTTTCTACTGCTTACTAAAAAATATTTAACTAAATAAGGAATAAGTATAGAAATGGTTGGTGTTGAATTGACATACATGAATTGTACCACATTTATAAGCCTATTATTAAAAAGAATGCATACCAACACTATAGCATGGTGGATTAGCAAGCTGCATCATAAACTGAAGATACAGAGTTCGAACCTTGATGCTTTTTTATTTTTATTTTTAATTTTTAATTTTCTTAATTTTTTTTTTATATATATATTGTCCCTATTATTATTTATTTTCATTTTTCTTACAATTTTATTATCTACTTATTATTGTTTTATATTATACAATATTTTTAGTCATATGAGCCATTAATACACCAACTGTTTTGTATAGACTTGTTAACTTAAAGGCCATTGTTTTATTATTTGCTTAGGATGAGTAGTGTGAAATTTTACTACTACTTAATAATCTTTATATTTATTTCTGATTCTTACCCAATGACATCATCTACAATTTGATTCTATTATCACATTTCCCAGGTCTACGTAACTGGATATCACCTTCGGTCACTTTTTTGCAATCATTGTGTTACATAAACAATTATAAATATATTCTTTGTGTCTGGTAATCCCTGACTTCTTCAAATGTATACCACAACAACTAAATGGACATTAGGCTTTCCAGCTGGATGTAGTTATGGCATTCAATAACCTAGTGAATATGCTGGTACTTGTGCACACCTTTATTCGGAAGCTCCACAATGCACGTCAGATCAGCACTCGCTGGCTATGTGATCAGATCTAAAATCTCACTTCATAGTACATCATTTCACACCAGTATGAAGTCATAGCTCTTTTGTCTAAGAGTGATAGCTTGTGGCTTGCAGTGATTAATGTGTATCTTTGATCAATTGAAATCCATTCTATAGGTCTTACGCCTGGCTCTGATGTGCTAGCCCAAAAGTGCAAGAAGTGAGTATGTTTAGCTTTCTATTCATCTGCTTTGAAACTTGACGAAAACATAACAAGACCATACCAAACGACCGAACCGAACATACTAATGCACTATATCATCACACCTATAGACATCAACAGTCTCTAATATCAGCAAATCAAATATTTGTTCTTTGTTGCATATGATCTACACACTGTGTAGATCACTGAGTGACTAGAGCGTTAGTTGTTTCTCCCCATGCCCTCCGACAATCTATACTTCGTTCTTCTGTTTCACAAAGTCTTACCACTCATTTTATATTTTCTTGTGATTTTTATTTTTTATTAAACGACACCATCTACAATCTGTTTTTATTGTCACATCTCCCAGGTCTAGATAAATAGACGGCTCTATTGGTCACTTACCCATTGTGTCACATAAACAATTATTAATATAGTCTTGGTGGATATGTTTGTTAATGAATTTATTACTTTAAAAATGTATATAACACAGTGGGCCCAAAAGGCAAAGTTTTGGAAATAGGATCATAACTAATGATTACGAAATCCTAGAAAACTCTTTGAGGACTTTTTGGAAAGAAATTTTTTGGCTTGTCATAGGAAAATAAAAATTTTTAATATTAAACTAAATTTGTGGACTGGGTTCAAATTACCATATTTGGGCAATGTTGATAAATTATTGTTTTTTGATAAATACTCAACGTTAAATTTTTTTTAGATGACAACTAAGATAATAATTTATTAGGTAAACTTAAAAAAAAAATTTACAAATTTAATTAATTTAGGGGTCTGGTTCCTACTGTTTAATGATAAAAGGTTTTTTTTAAAAAAAACAAGTATTTGGTCAAATTTGTATTAAAAATAATGTTAGTTTAATAAAACTTATAAGGAAAGGGTTCTATTGGTTTGATATTGCAACATATATTTGAAGATAAAAGTACAAAATGATTTGAAGATAACAATAAAAAATGTTTATAACTTCATAATTAATCATAAACTATGTTTTTAAACATATCATCAAAATACCTCTTTGTTTTTACATACCCTCACAAGATCTGCTTATAAGCTCATTTGAACTACAAACTTTGGAGGATACAAATGGATAATCTGGTTTAAAACACCAAGATCTTTATGAAAATGACTCATCACAGCTGTAAGCTCTTTTATATTTTATGTGTTACAAGAGAGAAGCTTTAAATAGTTTCTTATATCTTTTTTGTTTCCTTCTAGATCTTCCACTGATAAATTGCCAGGGCCATAACCATCAATAAGAATGAATAATTCAGATGAGTGATGAAGGACTCCATAAAGAGTAGGGTTAATTTTTGCCCATGGTTTATTTAAGTTAACATTAAGTGTAGTATTATTACACAGTTCTTGAAATTTGTCCATTTTAATTTTAAGCCAGCAAGAAAATTTACAAAGTATTACACTAATTTGAGAATGTCATAGTAACATGCTCTTTTTGTAGATGAGATGGCATAAATCTTTTATGTTCTAAAAATCTACTTCCTAATGACTCTGTTGTTGATGTCCCTCCCTTCTTACCAAAGTTGCAACACATCTAATTCTATCTAATTGAATTCCAGTGTTTTCTTTAATTTTAGTAATAAACCTGTCTCTTGCATTACGTATTGGTTTACCAAGCAGTATTGTATTTTCAACCCAGAGTCTTCAATGTATATGACATTGTTAGAGTAGTTTAAATACCAAGTTAGTTCCATTTATATATGAATATAAATATACATATACGGTCCTGTAAGCATCCTCAAGTTCATTAATAGTATATTTTGATGATTGTGAAGTTATTAATGCATATCCTTTTTTTTTTTTAATGTTTTTTTTTTCAGATGTTTATAACGTTTCCATTCTTTTTCACACACATTTTCAAAGTATTTTTTTATTACAATATATTTAACTGAGTTTGCCTTAATAGTTTTGCCCGCTTTGATAAATTGTGTGAATAAATCTACTTTATTGATGTATTTTATATTTTTTATTTTCCTTCATTACATTTATTTTTTAGTTTACTTTACTTATGCTAAACACAAACAAAATGAAATCAAATAAACATAAAAGTTAAATATTTTTCATATTTTTAACTAAAAATGAAATATTCTCATATTTTAAGAAAGAAAAAAATAGTCACTGTTCAACCTTTTTAAATCCTGTAAATTTTAAAAAGGGCTAACTTGCCTCAGTTCCCACTAATATATTTAAAAAAAGAAGAAATGCAATATATTTAAAAAATGTATGACACAGTAGAGGCAAGTTAGCATTTTTGAAAAAAAATAAGAATTCTGTTTTTTTGTAAAAAAAACAACAACATAAGTTTACAACAAAATTGCCTAGTTAAGTTTAAAAAACTCAATAAAAAAAGAGTAATTCAAAATAAATTATACATTTTAAATAATTTTATTCAAAAATATATTCCATAGTAAATTAAAAACAACTTCTGATAATATGAATACGCTTATTTAATATTATTTTTAGTCAAGTTACGTCATTTTCTAGGCTTTTCTATTTTAAAGTAGTTTCTAGGCTTTTCTATACGCGGGTTTTTTTTTTAAATTTTATTTATTAACAACGAGTATTACGGGTTGCTTACTGCTAGTTTACATAAGTGGTTTAGCAACTTTTATATTGATAAATTCATTTTAAATGAAAACCAACCAAATTTCACAAAATTCCATAAATACAAAAATAGTTTGGAAATTCGTCAACTTCAAAATTATATATCATTAAATAAGAAATTAGCTGGATGCATAATTTTTTTTTTTATTTATCCAAAAATTTATCTGACTTTCTGAATAAATAATTTGTATAGGCTTTCTCAAAGAAATTTTTTTTTTCTATTTCCACCTCTGGGCCCACTGTGTATAAGTAACATGTTAAACTCCTCTACAAAAGTAGAGGATACATTAGAGTTAGTACATTAGAATTTGCTTGAGTTAATATGTAAAATGTCTCATCTATTCTCCCTTAAGTTTTTTATTATTCCTCAGTAAAAATTTTTTTATTTAATTTTTTCTTTAAAGTTTATTTTTACTTAATATTAAGTTTTATTTTTGTTGTTGTTTGCTCTGTTAAGTTAATTTGTTAAATAAATTTAATTTAATTTGTTTTTGTTTTTTTTATTATTTTTACTCATTTTTGCCAATAGCAGGACAGGAATGGCGTGCGATCGAGCGCTTTTTCTGACCACGCAAATGATTTAATTTTTTGACAACTTGACCACGATTGTTGATATGTTTTGATGAGTTAAAAATTTCAGATATGTTCTGAATGTAGAAACGCTAAGCTAAACTTAAACTAAGAAAAAAATAAAATAAAAAAAACTAACAAAAAAAAAACACTAAAACAAAAAATTCGTAACAAAAAAGGAAACAAAAAACAAATTCATAACGAAAAAGATTATCATAACGAAAAAATTATATAAGCATTAAAATGAAAACAAAATTTTAAACTCGAAGCGAAACTTTTTATTACATTTTTAATTACGTAGGAAATAAACATTATTAAAGTTTATCTTTTAAAACGTTATTAAAGTTACGCAAACGTTTTTAAATAAAGTAACAAATTACTATTAATGATTGGTTTAATAAATGAACAAATTTTATTAAATTTATTAAAAAGTGTTGTATATAATATTTTTAAATTGTATAAACATTTATTTTGTCAAACAAGTTACAAAAAAAAAAATTGTAAATAAAATAGTAAATTTTTACTAATATCATGCTCTAATTAGTAAGTCTTATTAAAAAAAGTTTTTAGACTTTTTTATTCGTAAGAATAAAATAAAAAAAATTGATAAAATGTGTCTGCAATTTAAATAAAATAAACTGCTAACAAAGCATTTTAATTTGATTTTAATTTGATCATTACAACTTTATTAATAAGCGCTTCGCGTAACGAATTTAAAAATTATTATAAAAGATTTAAACTCATTTATTTCTAAAGAAATTGAAAAAGAAAAATGATACAAAAAATAAAATGTTTATTTACAACATTTTAAAAAATTGTAAGTTCAATCATAAAAATTAAGGGTATGAACATTACAAAGTGCTTTAAAACTTTTTCATTAATCAACAAAATACATGCTTACATAAGTAAATAAAGTTATTTTATACTCTAGTGTAGTTCACATAAAATGTGTAAAAGCTAGAAGTCACAAAAGCTTTTGAGCTTATTCACAAATTAAAGTGAAAACAAGTTAACTTAAAAAATTTCTTTCTAAACATAATGGTTTAAAAATGTTTTAGGGCGACATGGGAAAATAGTTTCAAACAATTAAATTTGTTATAAAAAATAAATGCCTACATAAAAAAAACTTAAATATAGCGTTTTTTATTTATTTACGCAAGCGTTTATGTAAACAATAACTATAATTAATTTTATAGTTTTATTTAAAGCCTTTGCATAAAATAAAAAACTTTAGAAAAGATCAATGATTAAAAGATAATTATAACGTAAAAACATTTTTTATTGCATTTAAATTGTTAAAACATCAAAATAGTCAAGTTGTAAAGAGAAAAAAATATTAGCGTGGTCAGTTACAGAGTGTGATCGCACGCCATTCCTGTCTAAGCCTGCAATAGTTGTTTAATTATTTTTTAAAAATTATTGCTTAAAAGTCAATGTTTACTAGATTCATAGTTGTTTATTTGATTTTATTTATCGTATAGGTTGAGGACAATGGTCATTTATATTCTATAGACCATTTTAACGTTCCTCGCCATTATGAGGATTCAATTGGCTCAATTCTTATTCCACATGGACTAATCGCTGATAGGTAATTAAAACTTATTAAGTTTTTATTTTTATTTTATTTATTTTTTGTTTGTTTCTTTAGTTTTACAGATAAAATAGCATTTTTAAAATAGGGATGTTAGTTTTGTAAGTTTTTCTTTTAGAATTGAACGCATGGCTCGTGATATCCATGAAGGATTTGAAGGAGAATCCATGATCCTGCTCTGTATATTAAAAGGTGGTTTTCGGTTCAGCCAAGACCTAATGAATTATATAGGTGCCATAAACTGCAATTCTGGTATGTTGTCAAATTATATAAACAAATGAAATCTACTCTAGAATTTGTTGAGTATACTTTGAGTGACTTTTTTATTTAACTATTTTTAAAGTACTCTTTGATCCTAAAGTACTTGTAAATAGAAGTTACTTGGTGTTTTAACCAAGAAGCAAACAATATTGACACAATATTGGGGCAATATTACCATGTGAACATTTTGCCAATATTGGAGGTACAGTATTGCACAAATAAGGTTAAGTCAATACTAGCCAATATTGACCAATATTGACAAAACGCTCACATTGCAATATTGGCGCAATAATGTTTACAATATTAAGCCATTATTGTAAATAATATCTCACAAATATTAGGGATATAATACGGGCCAATATTGGCATAATATAGTTGCCAAAATTGTAAATTATATCAAGCCAATATTGTAAATTATATTAAGCCAAATTGAGTATTTTCTGTTATCGATTTTTATTATTGAAAATTAATAAAAAACAATATTGTCTTGATAAATTTTAAAGAATTAAAATTTATAACAGTTTTTCTTGTTTAAATGATAATATAGTACCGCTTGCATTATTCTTTTGAGTTAAATAGGTTATAGCCTAGGAAACGACAATGATAGTAGAACATTGTAAGAATTTTTTTTTTTTTAAATCATTAAATTTATTTGAAGCAGATACGAATGAAAAAAAAAAGATATAGAGTGCTCCAAAACCAAAATATAACAAAATAAAAACAAGGCTATTTAAATACAGGGACAAAAAATATGTATATATATATATATATATATATATATATATATATATATATATATATATATATATATATATAAACTACTGCATTATACTCTCACTATCAGATAGTGGGGCATTGAATTTCATTATTTTACTGATACTTATTTCATTGCTCAATATTGGGCATTGCTCAGTCATGGTTCAATAATTTCAATAATGTTAGTTGATAAGTTGTTATTGTTTGTAATCACCTCCTCCATCTAATTCAAGAAAGTTCATCTAAAATAAAAAAACAAATGTAATATAATTGGTTATAATAAAAGATCAATGGTTCCTCACATATGTATGTTTTAGACAGGTTTCCATAATGTGATATTCTTATTAAAATATGACATTATGGAAAAGTAAAAGCAATTGGTTACAAATACATTAACTCCCGATATCTCGAACCTCCAAGGGATCTAGAAAATAGTTCGAGTTACCGAATGTTCGAGTTATCGGGACATTCTATTATACGAACTTTTGTCGTTAAGTAAAAAGAATTTGAGTTATCAAAAGTATAATCGAAAAGTTTTTCTTTATTTTTGATCCATTTTGACAGCATATTTTTTGAAATTCCATATTTCATTGTAACCTGAGAATTTTGACAATGCTTCACCAATATCTCTTTAAGCAATGTACATTTCTTTAATTGTTGTTGTGTTCATTTTTCTCTTTACAGCGACAGTAGCCATTATAAAATGTAAACACAACAAATTTTAATATAATATTGCAACGCACGTTAGTATAACTTACACAATGAACTAAAACTATTATTATCGTTTACATTGCTATGCAAGGGTTTCATTGCGTTTTTTTTTTTTTTTTTTTTTTTTTTTTTTAAGTTCGAGTTATCGGAAAAATTTTAGCCATGGGAACAGATAAAATGGTTCAACTTAGCGAATGTTCGAGCTAAAGAGTGTTTGAGAAATCGAGTTGTTTTTATCTGAAAGTATTAGTGAGGGTTCAAGGGGAACTCAAAAGTAGTTAGAGTTGCTAGAAGTTCGAGTTATCCGGGGTTCGAGATATTGAGATTTCACTGTAGATGCAACTCAATAGGTCAGTCTGTATTGCAGATCAGGACTGATTTTTTTAATAAAATTTTTATAAAGTAATAAAGTTAAAGTCTCCAAGAATAAATATAGTTTTGTTTTCTTTAGACAGTTTTATTAGTTAAGGATTGATATAGAATGCATTAAAGTCATCCAACAACATGGTTGGATGTCTGTATACACAGCCAATGATGATATTAGATTTTTTTGTGATAACTATTATATAAAAATGTTCTAGTTCTTTTGCTTTTTATATAATCAGATCAATTCTTGGTTTACATGCAAATTTTTATTGATATACAATAATGCATCTCCAGCATGAGATTCAGTTAGCATTTGTTCATAGCAAAACCCATTAAGAAAGACTTTGGATTTTTTAATAGTCTAGATTCAAATATTCCAATTATGTCATATTCAATTTTTGTAGATACTAGTAAATTTTCAAAAAGATAAAAGTTTTGAGAAGCAATGTTGAGATTTTAAATGACGATTTGCTACTTGTAATATAATTAAGATTATCAATATATCTATAGATCTGTTGACATTTGATGTATTGGTAATGTTGGTTTTATGAATACAACTTTGTTATGGTCCCATATATATGCATCCTAACTTGCCTATTTATTATGGGGAATAATTAATCATGTTTTTGGGGTTCAATTATCAACAGGGCTGTCCCGAGGGGGGTATAGGGGTATTTAACCCCCCTACAATCTTTATTGTTCTGCAAATTGGATACTGGAGTTAGTGAAATTGGATTTATTGTAGGTAATCAGAAAACGAGGACTTTTTTTTTTTTTAGGTTGATAAGTTAGTGGACACAAGTTGATTTAAGTTTGGGCTTAAGTTGGCAAAAAACAGACATGTAACCCCAAACCCCCCCCCCCCATGAAAAAAAATCACAATTGCTTATCTAAATTCGAATAAGATTTTAAATAAATACATTTTTTTTGGTGAAATAAACATAATAGTTCAATAATATGATATGTTCTGATCGTTTATTGGCAATTTTTTTAAATTATTAGCTCTTTCTTGGTCATAATTCTTGTATTTTTTGTGAAAATTATTAGAAATATTGTATAATGTCAACTATATATAGCAGGATTCCTACAGAGCTTGTTTTCCTGTTTTTTCCATTTTGGCCTATTCTCCTGTTTTTTTCCTGTTTTTAAGGCAATTTTTTTTAAATTCTGACAATGTTTATATATAAAATGACATATTTTATGGATTTAGGAGGTAATGAAGATAAAAAGTTTTTCTAACTAAATTTACTAATTTTGTTTTAGGTATAATATCAGCTATTACTTGAGTTTTAACATTTTTTTTTTTTTTTTTTTTTTTTACATCACAGACAAAAAAACAATATGACACTTTTTTTTTTTTTTTTTTTTATTTGCATTCACTCCCAACAAGGCTGCAAGCAACCACTATTAAGTTGGGAGTTACTAGGAAAAAAAAAAGAACAGAGTTATAGAGCAAGGAAACGGTTGACAGAAGACTTGAAAAGTTGAAGGTTGTATGAGTCAGGAAAACATGAAGATGAGAGAGAGTTCCTAAGGATTGAAGTGCGGGGAAAAAAACTAGATGAATAAAAGTTTTTAGAGCATGCAGGGACAGATACAGTAAACAAATGAGACTTAGCTGAATGACGAGTAAAACGAGAATGAATTTTAGTTGATGGAACTAGAGATAATAACTCCTTTGAGCAGTGACCATGATAGTATCTGTAGAAAAGAGAAAGAGATGCAACTTTACGACGATGGGAAAGAGGTTCAAGCTTAGCAGATAGTCCAGGTCCAACAACATTTACAATGTGTTTTTGGACCTTGTCAAGAAGAGAAAGTGAATTGTTAGAAGAACCAGCCCAAATATGACAACAGTATTCCATACAGGGACAAATAAGAGATTTTTAGAGGTAGAGAATGGAATCAGAAGTAAGGAAATGGCGAGCACGATAAAGAGAAGCAACCTTAGCAGAAGCTAATTTAGCAATCGATTGTATATATGGTTTCCATGAAAGGTCAGTAGTAAGCGATAATCCAAGAAGACGTAAAGAGGAGGACTCAGTAAGAGGATTGTCATTCATTAATATAGGAATGTTGACCATATTACGGTAGTTGTTTGCAGTAAGCAATTGGGTTTTTTTAGAGTTGAAATTCACAAGCCACTGTGAACCCCAATCTATTACTGAAGTGAGATCGGATTCAAGATCAGCTGCTTGTTCTAGGCGATCGAAAAGAGAAGACTTTTTGTCAAGACAGGAGTATAAAGTTGAGTCATCAGCAAAATGAGCTACTTTAGATGAAAGGTTGTCAGGAAGATCGTTTATGTAGATAAGAAACAAAACAGGGCCCAGGATGGAACCTTGGGGAACCCCAGAAGTTACTGGAAATAAAGAAGAGTGTTGGCCTTCAAGGATGACTTTAATAAACCGGTTAGAAAGAAATGATTTGATAATCTCAAAAACTTTTCCAGAAACACCATATGAAGCAAGCTTATGGAGAAGACCAGCATGACAAACTTTGTCGAAAGCTTTAGATATGTCGAGAGCAATAGCCCTAGCCTCAGATGAAAGGTTGTCAGGAAGATCGTTTATGTAGATAAGAAACAAAAGAAAAAACACTTATTCCACATACCATTCTTATCACTTTCAGCAAATAATAACATCCAACTTTAGGCATTGTTTGTAGGAAGGTGTACTTTTTAAAATTGTCCAATTCTTTTTTTGAAGGTTTGAAATCGCTGATTTCTGAGGATATTGATTTGGACCAATTAGCAATTGATTTGCGCAGTTTTTTTAATTTTCTGCCAAAAAAAATTAAAGAATATTTTGCTGTGGAATCATTCACTTAGCTCCAAGGTCAACGGATGTTGAGACATGTCTCTACTCGTTTGATAAGCATTCAAGACCTATTAGTCAGGGCAATGGAGCAGTTTGACAATTTGCAAAAACTATGATTGGGACAGAAACTTAAAAGAAAACTAAGTGCAGAGTTGGATATGGAAATAGGAAAAAAAAACTGTTGAAAATTGATATCACGTGACAATATCAAATTTCAAAAAGAGGACAACCCCTTTTTGAAATTTGATATCATCAGTCTTACATAAAGCATCATATTTGTTTAATGGCTAGTTTATACCATATATGTGTGTGTGTGTGTGTGTGTGTGTGTGTATATAT